ATGAGCTCTTGAATAAGGCTATTGATATACACAGTAGGTAACTTAAAATTAGATATTTTTTATTGAATTATTTGATGGCATTTTTAATTATAAAATATACTCTAAGAGTTCGAACCTTTCAATCATCTAAACTATTAGTATCTCTTCTACTTTTTTAATCCTCTTAACTAGAGAGCTTGCATTATAAGGAAATAATTGTTTATCCATTAATGATTGTATAACTTCTCTAAGATTACAAAATACTTCATTTACATGATCTATAGTTTCCATACTTCGTAAATTTGACATTAAATTATCATTTTTATGCTCATTAATGTCCTCATTCATCACCTCAATAATACTAATTTCATCAGATGAATTTACTTTAGAAATCTTCTTTTCGAACTTATAGCATTCTATTCGAAACTCTTCAACATCTTGCTCTAAATATTTACAATATGTTCCAAAAAATTCTAAAAATTGAGTTTCATTAGATATCAAAAAATCTAATATTGTTGAATGTTCAAATCCAATTGATTGTAAAAATCTAAGGAATAATGTGTGAGGAGTACAATATTGAAGAAATGGCCCGAAATGAGATGATATAGTTTCTATAAACCACCTGAAATATATATATGTAATCTATTAATATATTAGAATCATTAAAAGATAAATAATTAAACTATATAAAGTACTTTAATTCGGTTTCATTAGGAAGATTAATTGGTTTCGGTAAATTGGCTAGTTTTTTTAACTGTACCGACAATTGTAATACATTATTCATAAAATTTATAAGATCATTGTCGTTATTGACATATAAGTTGAACGTGCAATCTACTAGTTCCACCGAGGGTGCAAAGTCTAAAATAACAAGAATATGAATTATAGCCCGAAAACGAAAAAAAAAACAGCAAAAAAGATCACATATTACCTTTAGACAATTCCATAGTATCTATTAACATCCGATGAGTATTTTCACGAGAAATCAATTTATCCCTTGATATTTCGTCATTAATTAAAATCTTAATTATAGATAAATATGATAACAAGTAAATTTGAACTAGTTGTTTAATGACTTCGAGACTCAATCCAAGCTCCATGCCATGGTAACCATTGTCAAAAAATTCCGTATAATCATCATCGGGATTTAACAGTTCCTTGAGTCTAATCTTATCAGGAATGGATATTATTTGCTTTGCATAATTAAGAACACCTGAAAGGCATTCAATTGTCTAATTAGAATAATTTAATTGACAAATAAGTTAACTAATATAAAATATTATATAAAACAAAATTATGCTTAACAATAA